GTCCCTCAGCCCTTAAAGGGGAAAGGTTGCCTACCCCTGGCCTAAGCCTTCTGTCTATATTACATGCCTGCAAGTCCTTTCTGACTAGTGGCGGGCCCTAAGGCGAACCTATCCTGGGGTTTTCTTGGCAAGATTTGTTCAGAGGAGGTTTGCCATCACTTTTTCCTCTGAGGCTGAGAGCATGTGACTTGCTCAAGGTCACCCAGTGGGTTTCATACCAGAGCTGGGACTTGAACCCTGGTCTCCAGAGCTGTATTCCTAATTAATGGGATGCCAGCTTTGGCTTTTCAGAAGATGTCAGCATTTGAAGGTGATGGCAATTTTGGGAAGAATTTCTTCTCCTTGCAGACATCAAAGGTTGCAAAAGAAAGGTGATTTTACATGTTAATGTAAAATATTGTTTTTTTAAGGGAAGCTACTAGACTCACAGTCTAGACAGCCAGCCTGCGCACCTCCCCGCTGCTTTTTTCAGCAATCTCACAAAATAATTGTAGTTCGGGAAGTTTATTTGGCGTAATAGGGTTGCCAAATGTCCCTCATTACAAGAAATGTTCTTTATTTGTGGTCCAGAAAGCTTGTCCCTTGTAAGGCTGGCAGACATCCCTTTTTATACAGGATGTCCCCTGTTCGAGGCTTGGAAAGATTTTCTTTTTTATTATAGACGGAACAAGATGTCTCCCAAAGTCCTGGACCCTTCATAAAGGAAGTGTGCATCATGTAATTTTATTAACGTGGACAGCATGTTAAGTTTACAAAGAAAGAGATCTAAAAATCAATACTTCCATTTCGTAATTAGGTACAGCATAAACATATTAATAGCTACAACCTCAATGGCAGCCCTGCGTGTCATGGATTTTAGCTGTCCTTTCTTGCTGTTTTGAAAACCTGGTAACACCAATTTGGTGTGAAACAAAATTGTGGGAAGCATGAGCCAGCATCACATAGTGGTTTGAGGGTTAGACTGTGAATCTGGAGACCAGGGTTCAATTCCCAGCTCTGCCATGAAACCCACTGGGTGACCTTGGGCAAGTCACACACTCTCAGCCTCGGAGGATGGCAACGGCAAACCCTCTCTGCAGGAAACTTGTCAAGAAAATCCCATGATAGGTCGCCATGAGTCAGAAACTACTTGAAGGCAAATAAGAACAACAAGACTTTAATAATAATAATAATAA